TCTCTGTGCCTGTGACATTATTCTCTCAGAGAGCATCATAGCTAATTTCCTTCTCACTCTACCCCCACCACCAAGACCTAGCTCAAATGTCGCCTTCTCAGGGAAGCCTTCCCTGACCACTTTCCCTAAACTGCAACCTGCCTGCTCCTTACACTCCTCTCTCTTCTTCTCTGCTTTATTTCTGACCTTGCACCTTTACCTTCCAGTTCACTGGGAACCTGGTTATTTTGTTGTGACCTTCCCCTTAGACTCCTTGAGTTGAGGAATTTTTGTGTTCCGCTTACTGCAGGATTGGTAGCACCTAGAAGAGGGCCTGGCACTCAGTAGGAGCTCAGTAATTATGTGTTGAATGAATGAACGCAAAGTTCCGTTCATTCACATGTGCATTTTCCAAGGCAGAGAGGGTCCAGAGCATTCATCAGAGCTTCAGAAGGGTTGTTTACCACTGCCCAAGGTTGTCTCCCATTTGGGGCTATGTTGACCAAGCAGATTTACCTTCCAAAGGGGGAGAGAATGCCACTTAGCCACTTGGGCCTGCAGTTAGTCTATAAAATTTGGGCCTCCAAAGTTAATAAATGAGACCCTGGTTTATCCATCAGACTCTTATGAAGTGGGTCATGATGACTCAGTCTCCCTGCCAAAGCACCTGCCTATAGCGAGAGGTGGCTCAGATGCCCTCTGTGGTGTCTCTGTTCCTAAGTGGCAGTTCCTAAATACTGCCCCTTTTCCACCACCCAGACGTAACTTTTCCCTTCCATGATTTCTGCTGTTTCATGCCTTATGCCTTTCCAGTAATGAGGGACATTTCCCAAGGGCAAGGGACTGGTTTTCTTTTCTGGGACTAGGTATTAAGAAGATGCACACATATCTCAAGCAGCTATGGGTTCAAGTCTTGACTCTACTACCTACTCGCTGTGTGATCTGCAGCAAATTACTTAACCTCTCTGTTTCCTTCTCTAAAAATATGGGTCTAGGAAGAATAATACCTCCTTTACTGTGTTGTTTGGGGGATTTGATGAGCTACTGATGTGCTTGGCACAGGGTTAAGTATGGAGTTAAGTGAGGGATTTTATTTCAACCACCCTACAAATATTTATTGAGTGCCCACTATGTGACAGGCATTGAACTAGGGACCAGGAAGAATAAATGGGGCAAGAGCTGTCTTATGTGATTTAGCTTTTCAATGGCACAGACAGAATAGCAGCAAATGGCCTGTTTCTGACTCTACTGCCCCCACACTGTTGTAGGTGGCCTGGGCCTGCTCCTCTCACCATCCCTTGTGGAGCTCACATCCCAAAGGTAGAGGAGAACAGATAAAAGAGTGTATGGTTTTGAAATGGGACAAGCCCAGTAAAGGGGATGCATAGAGTGCTTTGGGGAAAATACTGGAATAACAGAGTGGGGGCAGATTTGAATCTGAGGGGGTCAGAGTTACTTGTGAGTTATTTTGTGAGTAACTTGGGTGCAGAGACCTGTGGATAAGCATCAGGGACCCTCCCTTCTTCCTTTGCTCTCTTTTCCCTACATCCCTAGGGATTTGGAGCTTGCTCTGTGGTCTGGCAGCCTCGGGGGAGGGTGTTTTTAAGCTGTAGCTTGGCCCTGCCCTGCTGGGCCCCGCCACACGCACCCTCTAGTGGTCACAACGCGTGCCAGGCACTAGGCTGGATGGGCCCAAGGAATCCAAGGACAGCGGGACTGCCACTGCCTTTCCCTTCCTGACATTATCTTCACTCAGATGCAGTGGTCCTATAACAAGGGCTGCTTCTAGGTCCTCTTGTCACTTAATTTTGTCAGCCACCTCCAGCATGATTTTTTTTTGAGATGGAGTCTTGCTCTGTCACCCAGGCTGGAGTACAGTCGCACGATCTCAGCTCACTGCAACCTCCGCCTCCCAGGTTCAAGCGATTTTCGTGCGTCAGTCTCCTGAGTAGCTGGAACTACAGGGATGTGCCACCACGACTGGCTAATTTTTTGTATTTTTAGTAGAGATGGGGTTTCGCCATGTTAGCCAGGATGGTCTCGATCCTCTGACCTTGTGATCCGCCCACTTTGGCCTCCCAAAGTGCTGGGATTACAGGCATAAGCCACTGCGGCCGCCCTCCGGCATGATTCTTATTTCCACTTCACAGATGAAAATCCCAAGGCTTATAGAGTTGAGGGAGGTAAGTAGGGTCAGTACTGAATTTCGGCCCATCGGACTCTGGTTTCAGTGAGCTTCATTCAGCATCATTCTTGAGCACATCAGGAACGATGCCACGTCTCCCAGTGAGCAAGAGATGATGCCAGATTTTGCCCATTACTGCCCAGCAAAGAAGGGAGGTCTCCTGAGTAAGGTCACTGCTGCAGCCTCTCCTTGGTCTGAGGCTACTGGGGCATCTCTCAGGGCGCTCCTCCGGGAACTCTGCAGATTGGGAGAGTGGTACCTCAGAGAGGCATGGGGGTGGAAGTGGGGGGAAGGGAGCCCCTAGGGCTCTGTGCTGAGCATCTGTGGAAGCACACAAGTCCCTGCCCTCAGGGGAGGCCCTGCAGGTTACCTGCTGGTAATCCTTCTTCCTGCTGGTCCATTTCCTTTGCTTCCATTACACAAGCACACCCCTTCTTCAGCCAAACTGTCTGGGTTTTAATCCGGCCTCTGCCAGTAACTACAAGTTACTTGGTGCAAGCCTTCGTGCTTCAGCGTCCTTATCTACAAATTGGTGGTAACTCTACCAGCACTTTGTGAGGCCGAGGCGGGTGGATCACTTCAGGTTAGGAGTTCGAGACCAGACTGGCCAACATGGTGAAACCCCATCTCTACTATAAATACAAGAATTAGCCAGGCATGGTGGTGCAAGCCTGTAGTTCCAGCTACTTGGGAGGAGGCTGAGGCACGAGAATCACTTGAGCCTGGGAGGCAGAGGCTGCAGTGAGCCGAGATCACACCACTGTACTCCAGATGGGGGACAGAGCAAGACTCTGTCTCAAAATAAATAAAATATAAAAATAAAATGGTAGTAACAACCATACCTATCCCCAAAATGTTGTAGTCTGGGGACCTCAACCCCTGACACTTTGATTCAGCTGGTGGGCCTGTTTGGAAATCCCTTCTTGAAGAGTGTAATCTGGCAACACAGACCTACACACCACTTCCAGCCAGTATGAGCAGGCGTGCTGGTTCATGCCCCTCTGGTTTTAGCATGTTAGCATTGCCAATGCCATCCTTGTTTTACTGGCAAGTTACATGAGGGCGTTCCTGTGCCTCAGTTTTCCTCATCTGTAAGTGTAGATAAATAATAGTAAAGATGTTCAGTGCTTATATATTAATAATAGTATCTATGTTAAGTGTTGTGAGAATCAGCCAAATCCTGGAACATTACCTTGCCCACAGTAACGACTCAATAAGCATGAACTGTTATTATTGCAATCCACACTCAAAGAGCAGACACGGGGATAAAAGAAAATACATTGAGTTTCTCTTTGTATTTTAAGATGTATTAATTTCCCCAAAGCGAAAAGTGACTTACACAAGACGGGCTTCTAGGGTGCGGGTCACGCTGGTTTTTGGGTGTTGGTGACATCACGTGTGTCTGTTTACTTGTGAAAAGTCATCCTGCTGTTCGCTTGCGATTTGTGCATTTAACCTGCACTATGTCCTGGGACCTTCATGGTTCTGTGACGCACGAAGGGCAGGCATCCTCATCCGCGGTTTCCAATAAGAAAGTGAGGCTAGGACGGCTAATTTAATTTGGCCAAAGTAGTAGGAGATGGGCGTGAGGAAGTTTCCGAGTCCGATCTTTTATTCGGGGAACAGCTGCCACTTCCAGACAGCGCAGCGCGAACAGTACCTGGCTTCAGGTACGCTCAGCAAATGGTCCTGAATCCTCCTCGCAAATGCCACTCCTCCCCCAGCGCAGACAGTCTCAGGGCCCGGCCGGGGGCTGGTACCGCCGCACGCTCCCCGGGCCAGCCCACGCGTGGCCACCCGCGAGGGAGACCCGCTGGCCCGCGCCGCGAGGCCGAGGCGGGGGAACGGCGCCCAGCCCCTGGCCAATGAGAGTAGCGGAATTTCTTTCATTCAGCGCGCGGCCAGGCTCCAGCCCGGAAAGGGGCGGGGCGCCGCGCCGTGGGTGGGGCCGCCGCGCGCGGGGGGAGAGGGCGGTGCCGGCCCCGCCGTCTGGCCAATCGGCGCCGCGCCCGGGGGGGGAGGGGGGCCCAGGCCTTTTTTCCCCTCCGCGCGGGACCAATCCCGACTTTACAAGCTTGAACTTTTGCCACCCTCGGACGAGCGAGCGCGCCCGAGGAGGTACCCCGCCGCGCCGGCTCCAGGGGCAGGAGCGGCCTTAACCCTTCCCGCGCCGGGCGTCAGGCTGCTGCCGCCGCGCCCCCGATCCCTCCCGCCGCCCACCCCCATGTTTGCGTGGAAACCTCGCCAGGGAAAGCGCGATCCCTCGCCCACACGTCTCTGAAGTGCGGAGAGTAAACTGGGGAAGGGAGAGGAAGCACCCAGGCTGAAGGGGGCCCGGCCGGCCAGCGGCCCGCCTCGCTCCGAGGGAGGGCCGTGGCGACCGAGAGGAGCCAGCGAGTAGACACTCCCCGCCTCTACCCCTCCCTCTCCATCTCCCCACTCCGGGCGAGCCTGGAGCCACCGTGCGCAAAGCGTCCTAAGCACCCAGTTTGGCCCGGCAGAGAGACCCCCGACTTTGCAAGGAGCGTGGAGCCCCTCCTGCAGTCACGGGGGATCCGCTACCCCCACATATCAGCCGCCCCTGCTCCTGAGGCTCAGCCCAGGAAGGCACGCACAAGCACACCCATTTTTATTAGCCAGCCCCGGCATGGGGGTTTGGGACAACTTTAAAGTGCGAACTGTGTTTGTAAGCTCGTGCACAAGCCAGGGATGGGCAAAGCGCCCCGTTTGCGTCCGAGTCTCAGAGCGTCCGCCGAGCCCTCGCGCGCCTGCCCGTGGTTTGCGTGACCCTGTGTGTGTGTGTGTGTGTGTGTGTGCGTGTGTGTGGTGTGTCCGCGCGCGTGTGTGTGCTCCCTCGCATCCGTGCCCGGGGCGCAACGCAAATCCGAAAGCGGGCCGCGGGTGCTGTCAGGCCTGGGGCGGGGGTGCCGGGGCGGTGTGTGGGGCGGGGGCCCGAGCTCCGCCCGCCCCGGGAGCCGGCCCCTTGGAGCCTCGGGCCCTGCAATGGGACGTGTTCTCCTTTAAGAGTTAAGAAACTTGAAACCTTGTTTGCGCAACAATCAGCGCCGCGGAGCCGCCAAAGTGTCTAGACTGGCATATGATGGGAGGCAGCCAATGACTCCGCGGCGCTCCTCCGGGGGCCCTCAGTGTGCGTTTGAGGAGAACAAAAAAGAGAGAGAGAGCCGAGCGGGGGAGCGATCGAGGGAGCCGAGCCGAGAGAAAGAGCCGCCGGGCGCTGCCTCGCCAGACCTCGCTGGGACCCGGGGGCCACCGGGAGGCACTTTTGCGGAGGGGGGAGGAGGGGCGACCTCGGCAGCCTCCACGCCCGGAGCGTCCGAGCGCAGCGTGGGGCGGGCTGCGACCTCTGCCTCGGTGGACTGCATTTTAAATTAAGGATCCCAGCGGCTCTTTGGGATTTTTACAGCTTCCACTCATGTGCTGACACCCGCGTCCAGGAGAAACTTGCTCCAAGTGCATCTAGCGCCTGGGACCTGAGACGGAGTTGGCCTTTCGTGCATGCAAATCCAGGGATTTAGGTTTTGTTTGGGATTTCCTTTTCTTTCTTTCTTTTTTTTTTTTTTTCCTTTTTTCTTTTTGCAGGGCGTAAGAAGGGAGCTGGGGGTATCAACAAGCCTGCCTTTCGGATCCTGCAGGAAAAGCCCATGTAGTTAAGCGCTTGGGTTTAAAAGGCAGGGCTTTCCATACACATTTGGGAGTTCGGCGCGAGCGCTTTGTGCTCATGGACCAGCCGCGCAACTTTTGAAGGCTCGCCGGCCCATGTGGGGTCTTTCTGGCGGCGCGCCGCCTGCAGCCCCCCTAAAGCGCGGGCGCTGGAGTTGTTGAGCAGCCCCGCCGCTGCGGTCCGTGTAGCCCCTGGCCGCGCGCGGACTGCGGCTCGGCGTGCGCGTGTTCCCGGCCGTCCCGCCTCGGCGAGCTCCCTCATGTTGCAGCCCTGCGGCGCCCCTTCGACGACAGGCTGTGCGCGGTCTGCGCGGCGCTCCGCGGCGGAGCTTCATGTGGGGCTGCGACCCGCGCAGCCGGCGCCTCGCTGAGGGAACGGACCCCCGGTAACCGGAGACCGCCTCCCCCCCACCCCTGGCGCCAAAGGATATCGTATGTTCAGGTCCAAACGCTCGGGGCTGGTGCGGCGACTTTGGCGAAGTCGTGTGGTCCCCGACCGGGAGGAAGGCGGCGACGGCGACGGCGGCGGCGGCGACGAGGATGGGAGCTTGGGCAGCCGAGCTGAGCCGGCCCCGCGGGCACGAGAGGGCGGCGGCTGCGGCCGCTCCGAAGTCCGCCTGGTAGACCCGCGGCGGCCCCGGGACGCAGTGGGACAGCGAGGCGCCCAGAGCGCGGGGAGGCGCCGGCGCGCGGGGGGCTCCCCCAGGCCCTTGTCGGAGCCGGGGGCCGGCGCTGGGAGCTCCCTGCTGGACGCGGCGGAGCCGGGAGGCCCGGGCTGGCTGCCCGAGAGTGACTGCGAGACGGTGACCTGCTGTCTCTTCTCGGAGCGGGACGCCAGCGACCCCCTGGCCGGCGCGGCCCTGGAGCCGGCGGGCGGCGGGCGGAGTCGCGAAGCGCGCTCACGGCTGCTGCTGCTGGAGCAGGAGCTCGAAACCGTCACGTACTCGCTGCTGAAGCGGCTCAAGGAGCGCTCGCTGGACACGCTGCTGGAGGCGGTGGAGTCCCGCGGCGGCGTGCTGGGCGGCTGCGTGCTGGTGCCGCGCGCCGACCTCCGCCTGGGCGGCCAGCCCGCGCCGCCGCAGCTGCTGCTCGGCCGCCTCTTCCGCTGGCCCGACCTGCAGCACGCCGTGGAGCTGAAGCCCCTGTGCGGCTGCCACAGCTTCGCCGCCGCCGCCGACGGCCCCACTGTGTGCTGCAACCCCTACCACTTCAGCCGGCTCTGCGGGCCAGGTGAGCGCGAGCGCCGGCCGGGGAGAGGGGGCGTCCCCGGCTCCTCCTCCCGGTCCCCTTCCTTGCCCTTCTCTCCAACTGTGGCCCTGCGGGTCGGCGCAGCTGCGGGTGCTCCCCCGGGTGTCCTTGGAGCGTGGGAGCCCCTAGGGGAGGCGTCTCAGCCCGGCCCAGGGGAGTGAGTGTCCCAGCACACACATCAAGTGGCAGCTTTATCTCGAGGCTCCGGCAAACGTAAAAGGGTGCGCGTCGTAGTTTCTCTGTGCAGTTTCAGGGCCAGGATGTGGGCTCCAACTTCGTAGGCAGGGAAAGCAGAGGGCAGGCCGACGAGAGGTCAGAGAGGTAGGTGCTGTCTCCTCCTACCCCTATTCCAGAATCTGCCCCAGACTGTGCCCAGGCCTCTGGCATTTGTAGGCATGTGCCCATACCCACATTGTGCTTTTCTATGTCCAAGTAGCTGTAAGTTGTGAAATTGGGTGTACACGAATCACAGCTAGAATCAAGCGTTCATCAAATATCTCACTAATGCCTTTGTACACTTTGGACGAAGCTTTGCAGGGTAGCCTCTCTGGAGTAAAGAGCACCCTGCTTATTTCCCACATGCTATTACTCCCCACATCCCTTGGGTGTCAGGTGCCAGGATCTTCCATCCTCCTCGCATTGTTCAGCTTTTGTATAGCGTTGAGGGTCTTGCGGGCATCTATGAGTAGGTAAAGAAGCCAGATACGTGATGACCTCTGAGCACTGTCCCCCTACTTCGTTCTCCTCTTGAGATTCTCTGCCCACACTCCACCCTCAGCCTTGCTCACCTGGCCAGGCCCTGGCGCTCAGGTCCAGAGAGGCGGAAGCCTCAGCAGGCCAGGAGCTTGCATTCGCCTTGCTCTGAACTCTGCCCTGCGGGGAACACACATGTTAGCTTGTAGCTGGCCTTTGAGGGATGTATGGGAATCCATGAGGTGGCACTGGGGTTTTGCAGGAGTGGGACTGTCAGGGAGTCGCAGGCTACGGAGCCCGGGAGGGCTCTGGGTCCCTCCATTCTGGCTTCCCCGGGGAGAGTCAGCACCCAGGTTGGGAGCTTGTAGAAGGTCAGATTGTAGGTCTCCCGACTCTCACTTTGGAAGGGGAAGGTGGGCCTGGGATCGTGCATTTGTCCCAGGTGTCTTGTTTGTGTGTGGAGTAGTTTCTGGAGAGGAAAGGAGGCTTTTCTTCAGTGATGTTTCCTGAATAGAGGGCATTGATGGGGGTGGGTGAGGAGGGGCTGTGTTGATCAGGCACCCCACTCCCCTCCTGGCCACTCCAGGCCCAGTTCAGGAGCCATGAGCAGTCTCGGAGCTGTGGCTCATGCCAGGGTTTCTGTGTACTTTTCCCCTTCCTGACAGCTTCCCTGAAAGTGGCTTTCTCTCCTCTTCAAACTCTGCCTCCTCCCTGGCTCTGGGGAAGGAGACCCTATTTGTGGCTGGCTGTCTTGCTCCTGGCCATCTTTTTCTTTTGTTAAGTGGGCCCATTCCACTCTGTAGAAGCCCCTGGCAGCTATTTTTCTCTCTCGCCACTTCAGTGTGCCAACAAATGTTTGTTGAGCAACTACTCCGGGCCAGGCACTGTGCTGGGTGCTGTGGCTGGCAGAGTGGAAACATGAGTACGATCTGTGCCCTCAAGAAACATAATCCCCTGGGGGATTTATGGGGAAGAGATGGGGGAAGAAGGGAAGTGTGCAGGGCCAGGTCTGTGGGTCTGAGCTACCAGAAGGCCGTGGGTGTGTATGTAATAGGATCACCTGCAGGAGCTCTGCAGCTCCAACCTGGAGCAGGGCCTTGGAGGATGGGGCAGAGGAGAGGGAGCCAGCCGGGGCAGAGGAGAGGGAGCCAGCCAGCTCAGAGTCAAGGTGCCAGGCACACTCAGGTGGGTGCGCAGGGAGGGGAGGAATGAGAAAGTTGGAGGCAATGGACAGAACCACTCCTGCTACTACTCCCTGGACTAGGAGTTGGTGTGGGTGTTGGTTTGCATTTGGTGGTCTTGGACAGGTACAGGTCAAGGGGTACCTGGCAAGCTGGGGTGGAGTGGTTCTTAACTATGGACCTAGTCCTGGGCTCTGCCCAGCTAGTAACCTGCAGCTTGCCTTTGGATGAGTTATCTCCCCTGTCAGCCACCGTGGTGGTCAGTGGGGGTGGCTCTGGGAACGTTCTCCCCATCTAAATCTGAACTAAGCCTTAGGACGTGGTTCTTTTCCTTCTCCCAGAAGGAGGCGCTGTTGCGGGGGGGCTGCAGCACCCCGAGTCTCCTCCCTTGCCTCTTTGCTAGCTGCTGGTCTCTGGGGCCCCCATTCAGCCACCCTAGGGACAGCTGGGAGGACCGATGGCCAGGGAAGAGTTTCCAGTATGTGCCGCTGGCCTGAGAGCTGGGGGAGCCCTGGGCTGCCCACCCCGCCCCCGCCGCCTGGCCGCCAGCCTGGCTCCCGTAACTGGGCGGGCGCATAGCTGGGGCTCAGCCGTGCGCGTCCTGATAAGGAGACTGCTCCTTCCAGGGCTCTGGGGAGAGGGCCGGGCCCCGGGCAGGCAGACGCGCGCACACAGCGCAGGCACACAGCTAGCGAGCAAAGTACGCTGGAACACTGGCAAAGGGGAACTCCCACCTGGCAGCAGTCACACCCCTCCCCCCCACCTCCACCGGCCACTGCAGGGAGCCCCAGTGACAGGAGACCCCTCATTGGCAGTGTGGACCCCCTGCCGTTCAGAGCCCACTCTCCATCCGGGTCAACTTGCTTTGGAGCCTTGGGGCAAATTTCCCCTTTGGGCTTCTTTTCCCATCTCTAAAGTAAGGGGTTGGAGGGAATCCCTGAGGGCTGATGTGAGGATGCCAGGCCACAGAGGCCTCGCTCCCGTCCCCTGCTCTGCTCCAGGCTGGTCTCAGAAATTGGGGTCCTCAGCAGGGAACCCGCCTCTGCTGGGCACGGGCTGGGGGCCTCCTTGCCTCTCAGCCCGTGGGAGTCAGGCCCAGCTCTGCCTCCCCCTTGGGTGTCTTTCTGTCCCAGGAAAAGCCAGTTCGCTGAGCTCGGTGGGTGCCTATGTGGACGGAAATGTGGAGAAATACTTTAATCACAGCTCTAACCTGTGTTTATAGAGCTCCTTTCTCCTGAAAGTATCCATTAACTTTGGAATAAATCTCCTGCTCTTTGCTTCCCCACTTTTTTTTTTTCTGTAATTATATTCTGTAAATTACTATTATCCAAATTGCGCCCGGGGAAGAGAGACGGAGCGAGAGAGAGAACTTCTAAACGACTGGAGGAGGCCGCCTAGGAAAACACAGGGTTCCCAGGCCAGGACCATAGGAATTAGAATGGGCTAGAAAGTTTTCCTTTTATTTGGCCTGGCATTATCCCTTTGAAATGAGATCAATTTCAAGTTGGGCTTCCAAGCCCCCGCCCCGCCCAGCTCAGCGGCCCCTAGCCCTGCTTGTCTGCTCCTCCTAGCTCCTCCTGGAGGTGAGGAAGGGGTGATAATGTGCAGTTTGCCTCTTGCTGGCGCCAGCCGGCCGCGCTGTTTATCTGGCTGCCAGGGGAATCTGGGCAATTAGGCTCAGCCGGCCTTAAAGTGCCAGGAGCTCCTTTTCTGCGTCTCCCATCATGGGGCTTAGGGTTGAGTCTTCAGGTTCCGGGGGCAGGAAGGAGGGGCACTCAGGAGACCCCCTCCCCCCCTACAGCCCCTCTTTGGGAGGGGGGAGACTTGGCAACTTGGGAGGCATGTGGATCTTTTCCTAAGCAAGATGCTGAGCTGCAGAGATGGGGGTGGAAGGTAAATGTCCCAAACTGAAACTTTGCCAGGCACTGGGAGAGGCTGTGAACTCTTTTCTGGCTTTAGAATTTAGGTCTAGATCCCAAAAGGCTAAGTACCCCCTGGGGGCCAACCAGAGGCTTGCCTGGGCTGAGCTGAACCTTCTGGCGCACTGGCCCCTGGCTGACTGCTCCTGCTTCTGAAGGAAGTTGGAGGAGATTCCTAAAGTGGATGCCTCAGGCTGGATGTCCAAGGGGCTGGAGTTTCTGATGTCTTCCAGTCTCCCTCTCTTTTCATTTTCTCTTTACCAGGTCCACTTCTTTCAGAAGAAAGAAGTGGTGCTCTAAAAGTTCTCCTGTTAAAATTTAGAGCATATTGGCTATTTTAAAATCAACACAACTTCTAAAAGTACTAGAGTGGACAGAGGGCCTGGTGGCAGCTCAGTTTCTCTTCTGACCTGTGGTCTCACCCACCACGTGTCCCACCTGAGTGCCCACCTTGTCCACCTGAGGTAACATCCTGGGGCTTCGTCAGTCCAGGTCCATGAGGCGCAGCTTTGTGGGAGTGGCAGCTGATTCGTACCCAGTAGTGTTTATAGCACATTATTTGTAACAGCCAAAGAGAGGAAGCAACCCAAATGTCCATTAGCTGATGAATGGGTAAACGGAATATGGTACATTCAAAGAATGGACTATCGTTCAGCCATGAAAAAGAATGAAGGACAGTACCGAAACGTGCTACAACATGGATGAACCACGATGATTGTCCCACATGAAAGAAGCAGCCAGCCACAAAGGCCCTATGTTGTATGATTCCATTTAAATGAAATATCCAGAAATGGGCAAACCCATCGAGACGAAAGTAGGTTTGTGGTTGCCCAGAGTTTTGGGGTTGGGGTCTGGGAAGTGACTTCTAATGGGGATGATGTTTCTTTTTCTGATGAAAAAAATGTGTTTAGATTGTGGTTGATGGTTGCACAACACTGTGAATATACTAAAAACCACTGAATGGTATATTTTAAAAGGATGAATCTTAGGGTATGTGAATTATATCTCAATTTTTGGAAAGGGTTACCTGATACTGGTTTCCAGCTGGTCCCTCCTATTCCCCCGTTACGCCTGCAGCCTACCTTCGTGTGTGGCCTTTTGGGCAGGTCCTTCACCAAGTGGGACCTCAGTTTTCCTATCAGTAAAAAGGAGCTGAGTTGGGTGAACCGCAAAGCCCCTTCTGTCTCTGGCACTCTAAATCCTCGTGTTGTGGGGTGGAGTCTAAAGCCTTCATACTTTTTAAGAGTCATGGAATCTCATTATTAGCTTTCAGTCTCTGCAGTTGATAAACAGTTGTGTGCAAAGCATTTTGCCAGAGCCAATAGTGGGAGCCTAGTGAGGTCCTTCCTGAGAGCTTTACAGTGCTCCACTAGCTGGCATGTCTCATGGTTCAGGTTCATGGATTTTCTTTCTATCTCACAACGTTGGAAGTCCCAACTCAGCTATGGCCATGGGTAGTGAGTGTCACAACTCAAGGCCCAGGTAGCTCTTCCAGGTGGGAGTTCATGAGCCCTTCCTGCCTTTCGCCCTTTGAGCCCCAGGCAAGCAGCCCTGAAGAGATGCTGGCATTGGTTACAGAGGCTTGACTGCAGCCACTACTGCTCATTGTTGTTTCACCTCTGGGGACAAATCTGGGGGGCAGATGTCCAGAGCTCCATGCCATTGTGGCCTGGGCCTCAGCCAATCAGATTTTTGCACAGGTAACCCTATGGATTTGCAGGCTTTCTGATAAGCTCATGGGGATCGCGGAAAGGGCATGGAGGTCAGAGACCTGGCTTTGGTTCTGGCTCAGTACCTGACTCCTGAGGGGTCACTTCCGCTCGCCGGGCTGCAGTCTCCTCCTCTGTACGGTGGGAGCACTGGCCTCAATTCTCTTTCTTCGTGGAACTCCAGCCCTTCCTATACCCTGCTTCTTGTTCTGAGAGGCTGCTCTTCACTCAAGGCTGGCCTTTAGGCCTGAGGGACCCCTAGGTCCTCCTTCTGCACGTCTTTGTCCACAGGTGCATTCAACTTTACCGTTATCCTCATCCCAGTTGCCCTTGTCCATATTTAGTGAGCACGTTGCGAGCAGGTGGTGTCCCAGACCCAGCGGGGATGAAGGGGTGTAAGACAGGGCATCTCTTGATTCATCTCAGCAGGTGGCAGAGCAGAGTCAGGCCTGGACTGGAATCCCAGCTCCGCCATGACTGGCTCAGGGGACATGTGCAAATCAGTTTTCTCATCTGTAAAATGGGGATAATAATGCCATCTCATTTATTTTTTGTTTTTTTTAAGAAAGGATGATATAAAAATAGGTACCTGATGAGCATGATTAACTACTCTGTACCTGAGGTCTGAAACAATAAAATACAATAAATAAAATGGAAAGTGATTGGCAGGGAGTGGGATACAAGGTAGGCACCAGGAAAACGGCTCTTTCAGAGGCTACTCTCTGATTCGTGTTTCCTTCTCCCTAACATCTGGTCACAGAAAGTCTCTGTTTCTAAACCTCAGAGGCTTCACTTTGTTGGAAGTAACTGGGAGCTGGAAAAGCCAGGGTGGGGAAGAGGAGAAGCCTCACTGGGTGTATGGAGCAAAACAAATGCTCCTACAACTAATTGTGCCCTATTACAATTGGGAAAAACACTTATTACCCCTTGTGTCATTACTGATACCCACCTAATAATAGTTATTACCAGTTTATTACCACTGAGAGTTTGTTTTAGTTTGCGATTTGATTGTGTTTAGTTTCATTTACAGAAAATGAGGGGTCATTTCATTCATGCAAATTGTTACTTAGTTTAGTAAATTGTTACTTCCCGTAAAGCAAGAAGCTAAGGAATTCTTCTGAAGGCAAAGTATATGTTTTTAAGGAGGAGTATTTTAGGCAAATGAAAGGAAACCCAAAGAAAAATATCATAGACAATAAGGAATCGTAGTGTCTGAGCTATAGAGAGCTTGTGTTTCACCCCTGTCCTTTGCAAAAGGGGAGACTGAGGCCAGGAGCTGGAAGTGACTGGCTTAAGGCCTCCTGTTGACATAGCTGGGTTTGGCCTTTTGGGTCCTAACTCTTTCCACTGTCCTCCCCTGCACCTAGGAATGCTAGCTCTCATGCAGCTTGTTTGGACATGAGTTTCCGTGTCTGGGCCTTTGCACTCACACTTGGCTCTGACTAGGCTTGCCAAATTTAGCAAATAAAATGCAGGATGCCCAGTTAAATTTGAGTGTCCGATAAACCACACACCATATCTTAGTGTATGTATGCCCCCAGTATTGAAGGGGACACAGCCATACTACAAAGTGATGCCATGTTGATCCAAAATTCAAATGTAACTGAGCATTCGGTATTTTACCTGGCAGTCCTGGCTCTGACTTCCCCTGCACTCACGTTTCTCTTGTTAAAGTAATAACAGTTACTGTTTGTGGAGGTGTTTTTCAACAGTGCCAAGAGCTGCACTAAGCATTTTACGTACATTGCCCCAGCAAACCTGGGAGGTCTAGATGATTATTATCCTCATTTTAGAGCTGAGGAAACAGGCTCAGAGAGGCAAAGTAACTTGCTTGAGGTCACACAGCCAAAGCTAGCAGAGCTGGGACTGAGCCCATATCTGTCTGTGCCCCAAGCCTGTGGCTTTAACTGTTGAGGGGGTTTGGGCAGCAGAGGAGGTGGGACAAAGTGGGGAGGGAGGGCTTCCTGGAGGCCGAGTTTATTATTGGAGGAAACCAATAATTAGAAGCATGTAGAACCTGAGGTGTGAGTTCCCCCACCCCGGCAGTGACACGCTGTCTTCTGTCTTCCAGAATCTCCACCACCTCCCTATTCTCGGCTGTCTCCTCGCGACGAGTACAAGCCACTGGGTAAGTGTGCCCTCCTTCCTCCCCTCGCGGGGGTGTGTCCCTCACTGGCTCCCCTTCAGCCCAGGGTCTGTCCAGCGTCCGGGCTAGAGGGCTGGAGGGGAGGGGTGGAAGCCGGGCTGGTTGCTGTGAAGTGGGGTGAAGTTATACAGACCCTCCCACAGTTGGGCCAAAGCAGACCCAGCTTCTGCAGCAGGCTATTTACATCTAGAATTCCACGGCTCATCATTAACCTCTTGGTGACCTTTAAACATGGGCCTGTCGCAGATGAATGGGTTTTGACTTAAGTATCTCACTGGAGGTGGGTTGGTATTTCTGTGCCTCTTCTGTCTGTCTCGGGCCACCCCCAGCCTTGGGTTATTCTCCTTTCGAGTGTATTAATTAGTAGTATGACAAATAGGTTGGGCATGAAGTCTTTGTTGGGAGGAGCTGTATATTTTCCCCCTTTTTAAGCCAAGATGTTCACTTGGGCAGAAACAACAGTCGGAGTGTTAGAAAGGAATGTATATCGGTACACAAAGCCCCTGGCGTGCGCTGTCCCCTAGGTGAGTTTAGTGGAGTTGGTAATGTCATTTTAGACAACTCCCATTCAGAGGCAGAACGTGTGTTCTGTAAAACCTTGAGCCCAGGTGATCAGCCCATCTTCTGGGGTAGATGCAAGTGGTTTCGAAAGTAGAGATTGTTGGCTCACACCTGTAATCCCAGCACTTTGAGAGGCTGAGGCGGGCAAATCGCTTGAGGTCAGGAGTTTGAGACCAGGCTGGCCAAATGGTGAAACTCCGTCTCTACTAAAAATACAAACACTAGCCAGGCATGGTGGTGCACATGGTCCCAAGTAGCTGTAATCCCAGCTACTTGGGAGGCTGAGGCAGGAGAATTGCATGAACCTGGGAGGCAGAGGTTGCAGTGAGCTGAGGTCACACCACCGCACTGCAGTCTGGGCTACAGAGTGAGTGAAACTCTTGTCTCAAAAAAAAAAAAAAAAAAAAAGTAGAGATTGTGGCTGGGAATGATGGCTCATGCCTGTAATCCCAGCATTTTAGGAGGCTAAGATGGGAGAATTGCTTGAAGCCAGGAGTTTCAGACCAGCCTGGACAACATAGCAAGACCCATCTCTATAAAACATACAAAAATTAGCTGGATGTGGTGGCTCAGGCCTGTAATCCTAGCTACTTAGGAGGCTGAGGTGGGAGGATCATTTAAGCCCAGGAGTTCGAGGCTGCAGTGAGGTATGATTGTGGCACTGCCCTCCAGCCTGGGTGACAGCAAGACCCCATCTCTAAAAGAAAGAAAATAAAAGGGGAGATTACTTGGCTCTCTGTTTCCTCTAGTGGGAGTTCAGAGCATGGGTTCTAAGGCAGAGAAGCGATGGAGTCTACAGGATCTTGATCATGGGGCAAGTTAGTTTGGCCCTGACAGTACCAGGAGAGCAGCTGTGTGGCCCGAGCAGTCCCATGGGACTAAAGCTTTAAAAGTCAGATGGCGTGGCCACGATGCTGAAACTTTCCACCAAGTGACCACTTTTACTGGGTTGTGTTTGGTTTTTGGTAAGGGCCTCCTCCCAGCAGCGTGTCAGCATCACCTGGGAGGTCACTTCTTAGTGTCGTAGATGCTCAGGCATCTGCCCCAGTTTTCCTTCCAGACCCCTCACCCGCTGTGAAGTCAGGCATGCCCACCAGCCCCTTCAGGAGTGTGACCTTCTCAGGCTAGGTGGGCAGAGGCTGTCCCATGAGGGTGTGCGGCAGCCAAACCATGGTGGCCACCCTATTGTTTGTTCCAGAAGTAGGATTGTCCCATGTGTGGGGGAGCCTTAGCTCTCTGGGGAACTGGAGAGATTCTCTGGTGGGACCTTGTCATGTAAGAGATGAAGCATCAGGCTGACTGAGGGCAAGGAGCTGCCCAGCTAATGAACAGCAGGGTTGAGGCACAAACTCAGAGCAGCCCCCTCTCAGGTCTGTGGCTCGCTGTCTTTCCCTCATAGGCCCGTCTCAGCATTTTCTAAGTCAGCATAATTGCACTAGTTGCTTGCAAGATCCCCGGTTCCATTAGAGAAGAAAACCCTCAAAAGTTCTTAGTGAAAGTTCTTAGCACCTCAGTTTGAATGTCAAGGATTATCGCCCTGAAGGTTTGTCAGTCAGCCTGTGATAAAGCAGCAAAAATCAGGACACTGTCCAGCCCTGCAGAGTGACCATGTGGAAACCAGCAGTTGTTCCCATGATTTTACAAATGAAACAACTGAGGCCCAGAAAGAGGAAGTGACACTTAGCGGTGGTCAAACGGCTCAGCCCGTCACCTGTTTGTATATGCCTTGCAAGCTAAGAATGGCTTTTATTTTTGAAGTCGTTAAACAAAAAATCAAAAGAAGCATACTAGTTCGTGACACCTGAAAATGACATGAAATTCCAATTTTGGTGTCCGGAAGTGGAGTTTGACTGGAATGCAGCCAGGCTTGTCCATTTCCATTTTGTCCATGGCTGCGGCAGAGTTGTGTGGTTGCAGAAGAGAGTGTATCGTTCACACAGCTGAAAATGTTAACCTCTAGCCCTTTATAGCGAAAGCTGTTGCGCCCTGATGCTGCTTGACTAGTAGTGGAGGTGGGGACCCGAACCTGGGGCTCCAGCTTGCAGGGGGAGCTCTCCATCCTCAAGGCTTGAGCAGCGATGGAGGCTGGGAACATTCTTCTGCACAGCAGCCATTGAGACACTGTCCAGGGCCTCACTAGAAACACTAGATGTGAGGGTTTGGCACGGGCGTGTTAGGGACTTCCTAGCTGTGAAAGGTGGAAACCGCCTGTCGTTCCCACTCTTCTGGAAACCTCACAATGCTGTCTGTGTTGGCTGTAAGGCAGTTCACTGAGAAATAGGACTCGGCTTGTGATGTTGCTGCTTCAAATGAGAAGTGGCAGCGGGGCTCTGGGCACAGAGCACTTTGGGAACATTAGGTATTAAAAGCAAAACTCTTTTAAGAAGTTCCCACTTGAGCATTGAGGTTTTGTTTGTTTGTTTGTTTGTTTTAAAGCTTTTTCTGTGCGTCCTTATTTTTCTCCTAACATGTTTCACCAGCAGATAACTTTTTCATTCCCTGATAAATAGTCCCAGGTTATTTTTTGGGAAATAATGTCTCTTCCTTGCATTGTTGCTTTTTCGTAAACAGAAAGCCAGTTCACTTCTAAGCCTCTGTGATCACATGAGAGCAAAAAACAAAATAAAACCCAGAACACCCAGTCAGCATCTGGCAAGTGGGAACGAGAGAGGGGGAAAAAAAGGCCAAATTGGTTAATGTTTTATCTTCCGGCTCCTCAAGCCATGTGGTAAAAGGAAAAAAATTCCTGCAGGATCAAATGGAATTCCAGCTAGTGAGGGCCTATGCAAACGGTTTCATCCCAGAATCCCTCGCCTGGAGTGCTCTGCTGGGCCAGGTGGGGCCAGGCGGGGCCACCTGAGCTGGTCCTGGGTTGTGCTAGGTGAGAAGATGAATGTGCTGTAGGCCATCTAACGTCTGGACAGGCCTGTCCCTTAACAGGGACAACACCCATTGCTGGTAGCAGAGGCACAGGCCCAGGAAACATTTTCCAAGTCTACCTGTCCCAAAAGCCATTGGCTTGCCAAGCCAGCAGCTCAGTGTTCTAGAGAAAATGTGCAAAAGAATTTCTCTTTCTTATCTAACTGTACCGCAGACAGCGGAAAACCAACAATGTACAATTTAAAAAAAGAAGAATGCCTTAAGGAAAACAGTCCAGGCTTTGAAAGTTGCTCTGTGAGCAGGTTTGGGTGTCAGGGAGTGGGGGAGGGGAGGGAAAAAACAAAGTTAATCTGGGGAGCAAACGCTTGAGCCCTTAATTAGAGGGGTGTAAGCAGGACAGAGTGAGGATGGCTGGTGACTTGTTAAAACAGTTTCCCCAGCTCCAGCGGGAGGGAGGAAGGAAGGAAGGAAGAAAGGAAGGAAGGAAGCAAGAAGGAACAGCTTCAAGAATTTTAATGGTTGTAATTAAGAATAGCAACTATGAATTGTTTAGGGGCTTAATTTAACCTTACCCACGGAGGCTCCAAGTTGCTACTTGCTCTGTCCCCTGAACTTGGGCTATTTCTGTGGTCAGGGCAATTGCAACGTTTTCAGGTACCAGCTTCACTAGTCAGCATTTTCCAGAAGAGCTCCTGGGCTGGCTGGTCTGGTCTGGGGGTGATCCTGAGATGGGGTTACAGGGTGACATCGGAAAGTCGGGAGGGACATGCTGCCCTTTGCAAGCACACACATCCACACACGTGCACACATACACAAATGCATGAGAAAGAAGCAGAAAGAGCGTGCTGCCGCACGGCCAACTAAGTTCTCTTTTTCTTTCCTCCCACAGATCTGTCTGATTCCACACTGTCTTACACTGAAACAGAGGCCACCAACTCCCTCATCACTGCTCCGGGTGAATTCTCAGGTCGGCAGTTTTTCTTCTTGTGCATTGCTGTGGTGTTGAAATTTATCAAAGGGGACTGCTGCGGAGGGGGCTTGGTGGGGGGCTTGTTGACTTCCCCTCTTCTTTTTGTTTCCCTTCTCCTCCAAATCTTCGGATGGGAAGATTGCCAGTGTTTCACTCGCTGCTGTTCTTGGGGTTAAGAACAGTTCGTGCAAGTGAAGCTTGAAGATAACTTTTAAAGCCCCTGTCGACCACGTTTTAACCAGTTGTCTCTGTCTTGTCTCTCTTGGAAAGGATAGAAGCCCAGCACAGCTCTCCATCTCTCGTTTTAGTAAGGATCCTCTTCCCCCGCTGCGAGAGGCAGCAAAGTGCTGTGTTACACGTTTATCTTCCTCCTGTCCCCACTCTGGGGGAGGGACTGATGTGAAGGGTTAGAAGATTGGGGGAAATGAAGCCGGTTGAATGAACTTGCAGGGAGGATCTGGCAAGTGAGGAGTCTGGCAAACGCCAGTGGTTTCTGTGTCTCTCCCTGAGCAGCGGAGGCTGGGATAGAAGCCAAGGGAACCCTGGTTTGGAGTCCTCTAGCCCCTGCAGTTAGAAGCTGGTTGTGGGGACCCCCATATCTGGAGGAATACCTGAATCAAACTTTCCTTGAGAAATGAGAGGCTGGTGTTGGACTGGGGACATCGAGGGCCAGGGGCAAGGTCTGTGGGGCCCTTTGGGAGCATGGCTGGTGGGCTTGTGGCCTGGGGGTGTGCTGGCTGGGACTGATAGCCCCTCAGGCTGGGGCTGCATCCCTAGTGGGTTTGGCTGGATGGCTGCGTGTCTCTGTCGGAGCCATTCTTCCCTTGCCCACATCCACGCATGGCAGCAGCTGCAGTCATCGCAGCCGTTTGTTGGTATGCCATGGCCGGACACGCCGCTCAGCTCCCTTTACGTGCATTCTCCGGGAGCAGCCGCAGGCTGTTTGCCTCCAGGGCCTGTGCTCCCCATCACTGTTTGTCTCCCACTTTTCTGCAAGGGCCAAATGCACCTTCGATAAATGTATTTCTGTAAAGTTCCGTCATTCTTGATGTAGACTCTCTGCAACTCTAAGGATAATGCAGCTCTGGCTGCTCACGGCTGCCTGGGCATTTCCCCAGCCCAGAGCCTTCGCCCATCCATTCCCTTCTCACCGAGGCAGGGGAGCTTACAAGAGTAGGTTGTTGCAAAGATGGAGAGGCTGGAAGCAGAAGCAGGAATGTGACTTGCCACACAGGGTTCCACAGTGGGCAACCTGGTACTGGGGTCCAGGTGATGCTGGGGTCCATGTGGTACTGGGGTCCAGGTGGTACTGGGGTCCAGGTGATGCTGGGGTCCAGGTGGTACTGGGGTCCAGGTGATGCTGGGGTCCAGGTGATGCTGGGGTCCAGGCCTTCTGGGTCTTACCCCTGAATGCCTTCTGGTCTCTAGTGGCCCACCCAATTAGGGTACTTCCTTCTCTAATTTCTTCCCCTCAAAGACCAACCAGATGAACACAAGTTAAAATTTCAACCCTTTCTTTTTCCCCTGTACCTACATGAATGAAAGCCACATATAATTTTGAAGCAAGGAACTTAAAAGTATTTCTGAATTTATGACTTTATGTCACTACCAGCACTCAGAGTATATTTGATTCAGATGGATTACGTTGGCATTGGTTGGCTGGACAGATGGGTAATTTTTTGACATCCTCTTTCTCCCAATTGCTAATGTCAGAAAGTCCGTGGTGTGTGTGTGTGTGCGCGCACATGTGCACGTGCACACACACATCTTAACAGTTTTAAGGTGTTTGCAGATGTAGTCTTATTTGATCCCAGCCATTCCAGAGGGAGCCTGGTGTGGCTCAGGCTAGAAGGACCAGACCCCCAAGCACTGGCAGAAGGCCCCTCCCTCAATCTGGAGGCTGGGAGGTCTCTAGAGACCCCTAGGCCATTCGTTTTGTTGACTTTGGGCCTCACTGGGCCTGTTTCTGAGATTTCTGCCCGGATATCCCAGAGCAGTCTCTGGTACTGGTTAGTAAGAAGGTCCCAGCTACTCTTGATGGTGCAAAGGGACTGTGTTGGAAATGTATCCAATGACTTAGAATTCTAAGGGGTGGAAGGCTTTGGGGAAGAAATTGGGGATTTCCTATGCCAAGGACATTGAGTGAGGTCTTGAAGGACTTAGGTCTGAATTCTGGGTGGCCTCAGTATTTGAGTGGAGTGTTTCCCTTTGTGTCCTCCCAGTCCCTTCCAGAGATGCCATGCATGGAATGTCCCCTCTCTCCTGAGGGCCCACTGTTAGCTTTCCCAGCTTGCTCTGTGCTATGGGGATCTGAGGTCCTGTGGGTTAAGCTGCCCACCTGCCTACTGGGAGCCCACACACATGGGGGTGTGCTGGCTGTCACACTGGAGGACATATTCAGGAAGGGAAATGGCCTGGGGGTGACAGGTCTTGGTGGGTGGTGAAGGCATGAATCATCCTGCAAGATGGAATGCAAGGTTGTGTGGGAGGGCAGGGCCGGAGGTGAAGTCAGAAAGGTAAGAGGCAGAGGTAGGCACCATATGTTGGGCCAGGCCAGGGTATTTGATGTCTAAGGACAAATGATGATGGTGCTGACGATGACAGCAGTTGACATTTATCGACACTCCCTATGTGTCAGGCACTTTGCTAAGCTCCAGCATTCTCCATTTCAGTGATTTCTTTCCATGACCCAGTGAGACAGGTGTGATTCTCCCCATTTCATAGAGGAGGAAACTGAGGTTCATTGCTGGACCAACTGCCCATAATGTAAGTGGCAGGCTTGGAATGTAAGCCTCGATGGTGTGACTTCCCAGCTCCCACCCTGAGAGCCCCGCCCAGCGTTCCACAAGTGTCCTCGTCCCCTTCCCCAAGCTAGACCTGGCAGGAGCAAAGTGAAATGATCACAAGGAGCCTGGGGGCACCTGTCCTGATTTAAGTACCGGGGAAAGGGATGAGGAGCCTAGCAAGGGTGCAGGGCGGCTCCATGCCCTTCCAGGCCACCACTGGACAAACCTGCGGACCACCCAGAGATCACACCACTTGGCTGCCTGGCCCTCCATTTCCCTGTGTCCTGGGGGTCTGCCGATCCCGAGAGCCTTGTCGCCCTAGGTGTCCTGGGATGGATGTCATCCTCAAACAGGGTCTCTGCAGCCCCACGATGGAGACTGCCCTTGTTTGTCCCCCAGGATGACAACCCCAGTGCTGGGCCTGGGACTCTGTGTGTTTTATCCAGCTCCATGGTCTCTGCTTTACTTCTGTGTCCTGGTGTTGAGGCCACTTAGGGGAATGGTGGGGTTCTTGAAGCTTAGTCCCATGCGTGGGCAGGCAAGGATGCTTGAGTGGGCAGAGCGAGGGGCCGCAGGAAAGGAGACACACTTGCTTCAGCTCTCTGCTGAGTAGTGGATGGAAAACCTTTATTTGATCTCTATGTCAGCTCCCAATTTGGATACGTGATCTCCACTAAACAGTGTAGAGGGGGCAAGTGGCTTCACCAAGGTCACTGGGGAGGGGGGTGGTGGAGGAAGGCTAGAATGCAGAGCTTTTACCAAATCTGAAGACCTTACACCTGGAGTCTTCGATGGGATTTGGGAAAAATTAAAAGCCTAGAACTTTTGGAGTCCCTTCAGAACTCTGGCACTCTGGTTTCCTTACCTAATTCAGGGCCTGGGGTGCTGTCCCCTGCCTGTCCAAGGCCTCTGCCAGGCAGTATTTCTATTCCTCTTCCATTTGCTTGATTTCAGTTTAGTTTGGGGAAGAAAAGAAGAGAAGCTAGTTTAAGAAATTCATACTAAGGTGTGAGTGGCTGGTAGGCAAACTTTTTTTTTTCCCAACTTTAAATTAGAACATGCCATAAATCTCAGGATTGCAGGATGAAGGAATGGCAGCTCCGAGAAAGGCTGGTGGCAGAGGGCAGGGTTCTCTCAGCATCTCTGACTCCAGCCTAGAAAAACAACGAACATGTCATAAGGAGCTTTAAGCCTTGGGTGAGGGAAGGAGCCCTGGCCAGGCCAGGCTGGGTGAGCTCTGAGTCACTTAGCAGGAGCCTGACGTGGTGGAGCTGCTGAAGCACCCAGGCCTGCCTGACTCCATGCTTCGGGGCTGGGGACAGGTCACTGGGCAAGCTTCTTTAGGACAGTGGCTCCCCTGTACTCTTATTCTAGAACCTGTAAGGTGACCATTCAAGTGCTTTATTAAGCACCCTGCCCCTCAGTTTTCTCACCTGTGAAATGAGGATGATAATACCAACATATCCCTAATGATGAGGGTTAAATGAGATACTTTGCCCCTGGCAGGGTCTGGCTCGGGGAAGAGGGCGGGGCTGCCTGTTGTGGAACGTGGGGCAGAGCCCTCAGGGTGGGAGCTGGGTAGTCACAAGTCCAGCTGTATGCAGGGCACGTGTATACTGCACATCACTGAGATGGGGCAGTCCTTTCTGGGACCTTGGCCGTGTGTGCCTGGGATCTCAGTGCTCACAGCATGTGGGTTTCTTTAGAGCTGTGTTATTGAGAGCCGGCCCCTCAGTTTAGAAAGAATTCCCAGGGAAGGAAGGGAGCCACGTTAGACTACATGGAGAGTTGGGGGCTGAGCTGGGTGGAGATGTCTTTCCTCCACCAACCGGACCGTAAGCTCCTTGAGGGCACAGATCATGCTGTAGATTGTTGCATTGTGTAAGGTGGCAGAGTTTGGGAACAGAGTCTCAGGGAGGTTGGGAGACTGGCTCAGAGCCACCCAGCAAGCACAGCTGTGTGGACCCACCTAGGGTTGCAACCTAGGTGGGTCCATACTGCTTACCCACCCACCACGTGATAGGAACTGTGCCTGCCATTTGCCATTTCAGGGGTCACTTGGGGTCGATCCTGTCTGGTGTCATCGTCGGTGCCTGCTGAAGCTGGGAGAGTAGTGTGTGTGTGCAGTGTCATTTCCTGCTGCTTTCTTGATTACAGGGACCCCGTGTGCTCTCGTTCGACACCCTCATGTAACAGACTCTAGGGTTCTGT